AAACATTTATCAGTTTAAATCGCCCACCAGGCAGATGTCAATTACTGTCATTTAGGCAGTAGGACTAATAGTATAGCTTAAATATGATTTTATCAATCTGAGATGATTTTTTTATTTACAATGTAGGCTTGGTTAAAGCATCCAATCTTTTTTTATATTATAATTAAAATATTTTAAAACAGATTTTAGTGAGTGTTTACATACTGTATGCTTTTATAATAGCTCAATTAAAACATTTATTCTTGGAGCATTTTCTCTTTACTATGGTGCATAGTGTTTTTTCATTGGTGATCTCACAAAGAATTGTTTTGGTAATGCACTCTGAATGAAGATTTGAGCAAGGTGTTTTAAAATGTCCACTGAAAAACCACAGACAGAAAAATGTCAGAGGTATACCAAAATTTTATATTTGCTGTACTTTACCTGTTTTCTTTAAAACAGTGACATACCATGAAAAATATGTGATGTTGTTGAATTTACTCACCATTACATGCCAAATACAGTACTACACTGCTAAGATTTTAGCTGTATTTTACTGTTGATTTTACAGTAATATACTATAGGAATGACAGCACAGTCTAACAGTGCATGGAAATTACAGTACTACACTGCAAACACTTTTAGAGGTATTTTACTGTTGATTTTACAGTAATATACTAGCAAATGCCAGCAAAGTCTAACAGTGTGCTTTATCCGTACGCTCATCCCTAGCTGTAACCACCCTGCCCTGCCTCCTCCTCCTCCTTGCCGCCTGCCGGCTGTGATCACAAGCAGCAACACAGTAGTTCCTGCTGCTTCTTCGGGAAACGGCGCAAAAATAAATAAATAAAAAATAAATGAAACGGGATAGTGTAGGCGTGGTGGTGGGATTTCAGCCGTGGCGGGCCCCCACAGCCACGCCTATGTAAGGGAAACACTGACAACGATGATAACAGACATAGTTAGCTTTACATCAAAGAAAAACAGGTAAGATAAAAAAAATATACTAGACAAAAATAAGATCAAACAATTAGACATAAAGACAAAGGACTGTTCTTATGCAAGCAATCAAACAGACTTAAAACAATCTTTAAATAATCAGAAGCAGGAACATTGTTCAGAAACTATTGATTGCAATGAAATTTTGAACATTGGGAGCAGCAAACTGGAATGATGAGCGGCTAAAGGAGGTGCAAGCTTTGGGACTGTTGATGGCAGGAGCTCCCATTCTACCACAGGGCAATCTTCTAACTCCTGAAACAAGCACACTGTGGCTTTTTTTCCCCAGAGTACAACTTACAATGCATTAATTCCTACTAGAGATCTCCGCAAATGTATTAAAAGATGAGTGAAGGGCCTCTTTAAGGTTTAGAGATGGTATGCTATAGACCAGGCATGTCCAAACTGTGGCCTGGGGTCATTTATGGCCCTTGCAGCGATTCTGTGCAACAAATGTAGTCTCTCCAGCAGGACGTTGATGTAGATAAAACGCTTCTAACATTTTTGTGTTCAGATTTTTTGTTATATGGCAAATGAAACAAATGTGAAAAAAAATCATCATCAAATAATTTTTGCTTTTTAAATGTTTATTTAAAAAAAATTGGGGCTCGCGAGTACTATTAACTTGACAATTTTGTCCCTCATCTTGAAATGTCTGGACTCCCCTGCCATAAATTTTGGTTTTAAAGTGACAGTGTGTAGTTTCCCTGGTGATAGTAGCCTGGCCTGCCAGACTCGTCCTCTGTTTAATTCTGCACAGAGAAAAAGTCTGGTAACTCACAGGCAGAGAAGCACATGATGGGCAGGACTAGGCAGCTCAAAAGTAACCAATAAGAAAAAAGACGGGAATACCGACTGTACCGCGCAACGCTGAAGTTTTTTAGCTGTAGTCAAAAATGGCGTCTGGCGACAGTGCAAACATCTTTCTTTAGAAGAAAGGCTTTTAGCGCTTCTACTTGATGTGGTTTTAAAAAATGTCAGAGTAATTTAGAACAAAGGAAAGAGCCGCAGCGAACTCCGCTTCAGTCGCCATGTTTATGACAAACTCTGCGGTGTGTGACGTACGCTGCTCAGCGCTGATTGGCTCAGTTAGAATTTGCACATCGGGGGTGATTTGAATAGGAGAGTTGTGTGATGAAAGTTTTGTAACCATTTGTTACAAATCAGTGAATGCATTTTGTCCTCACGGGCTTCCGTAGAAGGAAACATGGCATCCAATATGGCGTCGCCCAGAGACTTAGACCCGCTCACATGTATTTTAGAACTGATTTTTATGATTATATGTTCTGAAACTGCCAATATTTTTCATCAAATTTGTGTGTGTGTGTGTGTGTGTGTGTGTGTGTGTGTGTGTGTGTGTGTGTGTGTGTGTGTGTGTGTGTGTGTGTGTGTGTGTGTGTGTGTGTGTGTGTGTGTGTGTGTGTGTGTGTGTGTGCGTGTCTTCTCGATCCCCAGTGAGTCGTGGAGGATGGCTGCTTATACTGAGCCAGGATTCTCTGGAGGTTTCTTCCTGTTAAAAGGGAGTTTTCCTCTCCACTGTCGCTGCATGCTTGCTTGGTATGAGGATTGCTGTATAGCCACTGACACTAGTCAGTGACTTGATGCAATTTGCTGGGTTCCTTATATAGGAAACATTATTTCTGATTGGCTTAATGAACTGTGAATTGGAATTTTTATTATGTGAAGTGTCTTGAGACGACTCTTGTCGTGGTTTGGCGCTTTATAAATAAACTTGACTTGATCAACTGGGCGTCTTTTCATTCATTTGCAACATTTCAATGTATATTTCCAGAGATTAATGGTAAAAACTACACATTGTCACTTTAACGTGTTATTGTTTTAGTCAATGTTTAAAAATGTTTTTCAAGCATTTGAATCATGCACTTGCAGTTGTCGTGATTTCCAACAACACTGGCTAAATATTTGGTAAGATTAAATTCAGTAATAAAGTACAACATTACATAATCACATCCATGCATTTACTGGAGTAGTTCAAGTCTACGCAGCAGACCCACATTTTACCTTCAACTGTTTCTGTTTTAGACACAATAACAAGATGAGTCACATGAATGGGAGTTAGAAATGAAATTAAAACAATAATAATCCATGTGGGCACGGGGAGAGGAGGAGGAGTGTTGGTGACGTTTGAGTTGAGTGTAAATAGTATTAGTGTGGATCTCAGCATGTCCATGTGGCAGGATGTGTCACTGATGCTGAATCTCCTCTGTGGTTTACATCCTAATCAAGTGAAAGAGTGTAGTGTGTACTAAATGATGACCAAACAGTAAAAACAAAAATACATGAACATAATTATTAGCACCTCCCTTCTCAAAGATAGACCCGTCACAGTCTGGGGAGCTGCAGGAGCTCTGTCCTCCACCCACACTATTCCCTTTAGCGATAAAGACTTTTCGAGCTGCGCGGTGGCGCAGTGGTTAGAGCTGTTGCCTTGCAGTGAGAAGGTCCTGGGTTCAATTACCGGCATGGAGTTTGCATGTTCTCCCTGTGCATGCTTTGGTTCTCTCCGGGTACTCCGACTTCCTCCCACCATCCAAAAACAAGACTGTTAGGTTCATTGGTCTGTCTAACTTGTCCTTAGGTGTGTGTGTGTGTGGTTGTTTGTCCTGTGTGTCTCTGTGTTGCCCTGCGATGGACTGGTTCTCTGTCCAGGGTGCACCCCACCTGATTACCCGTTGACTGCAGGAGATAGGCACCAGCCACCCCCCACCCCCAGCACGTCCCTGCGTGGACAAAGCGGGTTCAGAAGATGGATGGATGGATAAAGACATTTCCTTGGACAAAGTCCACCTTTAACACCAGCAAGTCACAACTGAGCGGTCGGGGTGGGGAACACGGGTTAGTTCAAAACGATGACTTTTCAACACACAGCAACATGCTGGAGGCAGCCTTTCATCAGCCCATGAAGCAATCACAGGATCTTACTTTATCACCTAGTTAATGACTCCCAAATAAGCTGCTCCTCACGCAGCTCCATCATCTGCAGCATGGATACCATCATTAACCACCAGAGTCGCTGAGGCACAGGCATCTGACCTTAAACACTCCCGCATCAGAGAATATCAAGTCTTCAAAATCACAAAGTCTCTGCTAATAAGAACACATTTTCTCTTTTTGGTTTCATTTGCATGAAAAACTCCACTAAACTGAGCGGAGTCACACACCGGTAGTCTCTTATAGCATCAAGGAAGAGATGTGACATTTATAACATGCAGATAAGGTTCAGGGGAATATTCCAAACACGTGTGGGATCTGTTTGGGTGCTGGAGGCTGAGCACACATCGGTGACATTTAATTCAAGTCTGCAGCATCAGGCTGTACCTTGACCTTCTAGAGGGACATCTCCCAGCATGATGTCGGTAACTTTGGTGCAAAAATACAAGCCTATTGTACCTGGAGAGAAATCAGATTGTATTTTTGATTTAATGAAATTTTGAGAAGTGTGTTGTGTAATATTCGTGGTAAATGTGTCTGTATTTGCAGACCTGATACGAAGTTTGTTTCTTTCTACTAGAAAACACCCAGTTTAAATCAATATTCATCATCATTTTGTTTAGCAGAAAGTTTTTCTTTCTAATTATGAATTTTTTGCTTTTCTTAAGCAAGTAAAAAAAATTGTGCATTTAAGGTTCATATTCATACGCTGTAAGTGTATCTGAATTGCTTCTGATGTTTATGACGAAATCCAATAAAAGGTGTAAACATGGTGAATGATAATTGCCTCAAACTTCTTGAACAGCAGAGGGTGCAACAGAACATTCTAAGTCTCATAAATCAACCATTTCTCAATCCTTTTAGCTGGAAAGCTTCAGTCTTTCACTGTGAGTCATCAGAGCATCACTACATGATGTTTCTGTTTGAAGCTTGTGGTCATTTCTACAACTTTTCCAGAGCTGATCAGCCTCCACAACTGAACACAATGAGCACTAATTGTTCTACCAGCTGCAGCTGGTGGTGGTCCCTGTTAGGAGCAAGCTGAGTCGATATATAAAGAAGACAGGGAGAGCTCAGAGGTAGGACGTTAGTGTCTTCTCAGTCCAGATTGATTCTGTTTTTTCCCCCAGACATTGTGTCTGAGAAGTACTGGGTGCTGCTTCTCAGTTCCAGTCATGGCTACTGGACTCGTTTTGTGGTAATTTGGTACATGTTGGAGGATTTGATTTAATCAGATGAAAGTGAGGGATGAAAAAATTCAATCTGATATTTTCTCTTGCAGGATGTCCTGTTTGTCTTTACTGTTGGATGCTAGTGATGGATTTGCAATCTCTAGGGGTAAGTGTTTTAAGTTTGTATAAAATGTTCATTTAATGGTTTCTATAACTGCATGTTGTTTTTCTTCCTCAGGTGGTGACTATAGACTAGATCCTGCTTCCCAAAACCTTGATGATGACTCCACTTTAAATTTTGACCAGGGAGAGGCTTTTGCTGAACAGCTCTCTGGCCTGATCCCTCCAGCTTATATCCAACCTCTAATAGCCCAGCCACCAAGGATGGTCCCACTTAAACTGGAGACCGTGTATCCTCATAGTGATAATGAGATAGTGAAAATTCTTAATGGTGTGTCAAGACAATGGGAGTCGAACCTTCTTGACCCGATCATATTTCCTTTACCACTTGGTAACCCAATTGTGTTCCAGCCTCAGTCTGCACCAATTTTTTATCCAAGTGAAAACGCCATCTCATTGATCACTGGTCAAACTCTTCCACATGGAAGCCCAACATCTGCCCAGTCCTCTCCCTATGAAGCTGCATCGTATCAGTTTTGGCAACCTGCAAGTACCATGGCAGCTGGATCTCCCTATGGTTCCCTGTACCAGCAGCTCTACACTGGTTCCAGTCAAAGAGGCGACTCCAGTAAGCCTGCTGTCCAAGTCCTTCTGAACAGACTTCCAGGTGTTTCTGAAGAGCCTCTGTCAACCTCAAACGTGGTGGGATTCGTGTGGCCTCCAGCAATATACGGTCCTGTTTCAGTCCAAATGCCAGCCGGTGTTCCTCGTATGAATGCCAAACCTCCTGTGTCTTTTAACACCGCAGAACAGTCTGGTCACACTGGTAAGACTGGTAATGCTCTTGGGCGGAAACTCCCAGCTCAACCTCGAGCAGCAGGCCGATCTTTCAAGAAAAACTTTAAAGTCTCTAACGTCGCCAATGAGATCCCATACTTGGGTAAAACAAGCCAATGGCCACAGAAGTTTGTCTTCCCAGAGAAGTACTGGGTTCCTCAGATGAGAATCCCCTCAAGAGCGAGCCAGCCTGTCAGTTCTCAACCACTTCGGAAGAGCTTTGTTGTCCGTTCTAAAAATGCTTACCAACGCAAGAGGTTCCTGCAAACCAAAACCACTTATATTCCTAAATACGAATTTTCAAAGATGAACTATGCCAACTCTCCAGAAGAAACTGCACCAACCCCAGCCAGAAAACCTGTGCAACATGGATCCATCTCAGAAAATGTAGGAAAAACTTCAAGGTGTGTATTCCCAGTTGAGACCTACATGGGTTTTTATTGCAACACAACTATCCTGTGAGTAACGGTTTGTTTTGTTTGCAGAATGGCCTGCCTTCAGGGGAATGAATGCATGAAATAAAGTCTTTTACATTGAATCTTTGCAGATGAGTGGGTATTATTAATGTGATTCCTAAATGATTACATTTATTATACAGCTTTAAAGTGCCTTACCTTGGCATTGAAATCCTTGTTTCCCAAATCCCCTGGAATAAAGACAAAAGATTTAAACCTAGACATTGAAACAAATCTATAGGACAAAAAAAAATTAAAACTATCCTTCAAATTCAGCAGCTCACCATATGAAATCCGTACAGTGGCTACAGAACGTCGGCTGCTTGAAGAATCTCGCAGTAAACTTGTGGTTTTTCACTTCGTGCACGTTCTTCTGCCGCAACGCTCCTTTCCGGGCGAATCTGTTCCCAACCCCTGTCGAGTCATTGTAATGTAGGAGATGCTCGGCCATCATGGGGGCAAAAATAAAAGTTAAAAGACCTAACTAGAAGTCCCGACCGACGTCGGTGATGCTGCTGACGCGTTTGGTCCTCTCCTCTCTCCCTCAGCTCTACAGCTGAGCGCTTTCTCATTCAAAGTGACGTAACGTGGTGGAGACGCCTGTTTCTACGTACGGGGGAATAATTACGCTAACAATCTTACTACTACACACCCTCATGTGAGATATAAGTACGCAATGGGAAAACCAAGTAAACTTAATTAAACTACTGGTCTTTTGATGGACAAGCTTTGACGTATTAACATGTAATCTGTTAAAATTGTTAACATTCAAAAAGCTAAAACAGTCTTAATTTAAAGCTAATTAATTTAGACAATTTCTAGATTATTCCTGGCTAGATAAAATGACAAGAGCCGTGTGGGTTGTAAACTACAGGAGCAGTGCGCCATCTAGTGGACGCAAAGGTCAACTGACGAGTCTACTTGAATCTCGTGTTAAATTGAGATTTTACAACTTTTATGTGATCAATTTGGTACTTGGAAGTTTTTTTTCAAAGATCTCAAGTTGTCACTACGAACAAACTTTTTTCTGTTATTTGCTTTTGAATAAGTTTGAATACGAATAGGCTTAAATTAATGAGTAAAATGCGGGTGCATGAAATGCCTCAACATTCACTTACTTTATGCAGATCTGCCATCACTAATATGTTGAGTTTTGATGCTGAAAGCCATAAAACTGTTATAATCTGAGATTTGATTATAGCTGTACAAGTGTTCCCTGTGATGGACCGAAGACCTGTCCAGCGTGTCCCTGGTCTCTCACCTGTCGACGGTTGGAGATAGATACCAGCTCCCCAAACTCTATTGAGGAAAAAGCAGTACAGGATATGAGTGTATAGTTTTTCTCCACAAATCTAATGAGTAAGTCTTGTGGTGAAGATGTAATATTGATTGTAGTGTAATTGGAAATGCATCAAAATGTTTATTTTTCCTCAGGAAGTTAAAAGAGTTAGGCTACTTCACAATTATTCAGGACAGCTATACTGACCGCTTTCCACACTCGACTTCTTTCTTCTACAATTAGCTCTTTAACTGTATTATTTCCTGCTATTTCAGCTGTTAAGTTTATTTTTTCTATAAGCGGTTTTGTCTCCCCAGAAGAAGCTACAATGATGTTCTGCTGAGCTGTGGTAGCCTCATGGAGGGGGCCATTGGCTTGAACACTGTTGCTAACCACTTAAACATTCTCCCTCTCCTGATAATAACATTTTACTGTCTTTTACATTGAATGTGCTACTACTAGTTTACTCGTTTAATTATAGATTCACTAGGGTAAATACAATAAAGTTTATCTCTCACCAAATAGAGTATTTACTAAGAAATCACAATGTAACCATAGAAACGCTACTTGGTATATATGTTGAGGGGAGGGGGGGTGCTCTGTCTTCTCGATCCCCAGTGAGTCGTGACGGATGGCTGCTTATATTGAGCCAGGATCCTCTGGAGGTTTCTTCCTGTTAAAAATGAGTTTTCCTCTCCACTGTCACTGCATGCTTGCTCAGTATGAGGATTGCTGTAAAGTCACTGACACTAGTCAGTGACTTGATGCAATTTGCTGGGTTCCTTATATAGGAAACTTTTTACTGATTGGCTTAATGAACTGACCTGTATTGTAATGTTTACTGTGTGAAGTGCCTTGAGAAGAATCTTGTTGTGATTTGGCGCTTTATAAATAAAATTGAATTGAATTGTTCAAACAGTACTCCATTTCATATTGCTGTGTCCAGACATCTAGAGAGAAATCCTAACACCTTAGTCACAGTTTGGGACAGCAATAGCTCAGGAGCAGGGGTGCCTCCAGAAAATTTTAAGGGGTGGCCGCTGGCCGGACAGGGCCGAAGACATTTTTGGGGTAGCACACTATATTGGTCCTTGTGGTAACTCTGGGAGAACTTAGCCTGTGGCAATGTATTGCATTGCTACTTTATTTTTTATTTTTTTAAAACAGTACGTACGTGGCCAAAAAAATGTCACTTAAATTTTACAAACACAAACATTTCTGAAAAATTAATTTCATTAATTTGAAATGTTATTTCAACTTTTATTTTAAAATGTATTTATTTATTTCACCTGTTGCTGTGTTCACAAAAAACTATGAAGATAAAAACATTTTTAATATGTGAGCAGCAAAAACATATGCCTTATTTTTCATTCTGATTGTTTCTTTATTCAATAATTGTATTATTTTTTATTTTATTTTACATTTGTGTCTTGAATAAATAAGATCAATTTATGAATTCAGGGAACATTAACGTTACTGTTCCCTGAATTCAGCTAATTTCCCTGGCCACCCTTTGGGGGCGCTATTGCTCAGGAGATGGAGCCGGTTGTCCAGTAATCAGAAGGCTGCAGGATCAATCCCAGCTCGCTGCAGGGAACCCTGCCGCTATGTCCACAAGCATGACACCTCACCCAGCAAGGCCTGACTCAGAAAGGTGCTGTACAGATGCAGGTCATTTATCATTCATCATAAAGAACAAAAAAAAAGTTCTAGTTATTTTGGTTAAATGTCAATGTTTTTTTAATGAAAAATTATGTGAGGTATTTAAGAGAAATATGTCTGGAAATGTTGAATTTCTCACTGAACAAATCAGTGTTGCTCAGCTGACACACCTGTAAACAATCAGCACTAATTGCGCTTCTAAAAGCAGCTGGTAGCTGTCCTCGTTTATATTTAAAGAGCCCTAGAGGCATCTCACTACAGGAAAAGGATTTCTCTCATGTCCAGGTCTAGTCTGTTCCAGAGAACAGCCTCTGAAAAGTAGTGGGAGCTGCTTTTCAGCCAACAGTCATGGGTCTTGTGCTCTTTTTGTGGTAGGTGGCAATATGACTTGGTGTGTTTTGGGGCAATTTCCAAGTAAGATGAGCTGTAACTTGATTCTTTTGCAGGGTCTCTTTGATATCTTTCCTGTTGGAGAGTAGTCTTGAGTTTACACTTGTTGAAGGTAACATGAAATGTCAACTGCATTGAGTTTCTATATTTGATTCCTTTTTAAATTTCAACTGCTTTGCCTGTTTTTAGATGGACATTACCGGCCCACCTATGCATCTCAGAACCTTCATGATATTGATGATGATACCCTTTTCTCTGATCTGTCCTTTGATGAAGGAGAAGGGGAGGACTTGGGTAACTCACCAAGTAGCCCTGTCGACACAGCCTTTGGAAAGCCTTTGGTAATGTTGCCACCTGAACCAGTTCCACCTAGACAAAACGTACCCAACATAATTGCGCAACCAGTAAGCCAATATTACTCTGTGGAAGTGCCACCCATGGTGGTGTCAGCTGGACAAGGTTTTCTCTGTAGCTATCCTTCAGTTGGTCAAAATGTTCCCCTTAATTTTGTCCCATGTAAACAAAACTTGCCCATCACATTTGGGCTACCACCAAGCCAATACTACTCTGTAAACCTGCCACCCAAGCTGTTCCCACCTGGACAAGATGTACCCCCTACCTCAGTCCCAGCTGGACAAAACCTACCTGATGCAACTGGGCAACCACCAAGCCAATACTACTCTGTGAACATGCCACCCAACCCATTCCCAGCTGGACAAGATGTACCCACTACCTCAGTCCCAGCTGGACAAAACCTACCCAATGCAATTGGGCAACCACCAAGCCAATACTACTCTGTGAACATGCCACCCAAGCCGTTCCCAGCTGGACAAGATGTACCCCCTACCTCAGTCCCAGCTGGGCAAAACCTACCCTATGCAACTGGGCAACCACCAAGCCAATACTACTCTGTGAACATGCCACCCAAGCCGTTCCCTGCTGGACAAGATGTACCCCCTACCTCAGTCCCAGCTGGACAAAACCCACCCTATGCAACTGGGCAACCACCAAGCCAATACTATGTGAACATGCCACCCAAGCCGTTCCCAGCTGGACAAGATGTACCCCCTACCTCAGTCCCAGCTGGACAAAACCTACCCTATGCAATTGGGCAACCGCCAAGCCAATACTACTCTGTGAACATGCCACCCAAGCCGTTCCCTGCTGGACAAGATGTGTCCCCTACCTCAGTCCCAGCTGGACAAAACCTACCCAATGCAATTGGGCAACCACCAAGCCAATACTACTCTGTGAATATGCCACCCAAGCCGTTCCCTGCTGGACAAGATGTACCCCCTACCTCAGTCCCAGCTGGACAAAACTTACCCAATACAATTGGGCAACCACCAAGCCAATACTACTCTGTGAACATGCCACCCAAGCCGTTCCCTGCTGGACAAGATGTACCCCCTACCTCAGTCCCAGCTGGACAAAACTTACCCAATACAATTGGGCAACCACCAAGCCAATACTACTCTGTGAATATGCCACCCAAGCCGTTCCCTGCTGTACAAGATGTACCCCCTACATCAGTCCCGGCTGGACAAGATATACCCAACACGGTTGATCAACTGTCAAGCAACTTCCTCTCTGCAAATGTTCAACCACCAAGTTCTCCATCCTTGAATACAGCAGAGTGGTATGGCCAGAATAATGTGATTGATTCAACTGAATATGCCTCTCCACCAAAGAAGCCCTCACCTCAAAGTCAAGGAAAAAGTAGGTCTGAAGACTGGTGGGACTACTTTTTTTCCAACTTCTTTGGAGACGAGGACCTTGACGAAGACTTGGAGCCACAAAACTCTGTGATTGGCACTGAAAAATACTGGTTTCCTCAGGTCGGATTTTCCTCAAAAGCTCAAGAACCACTCACCCCCCCTCCTCCACGTCCCCAGATTTATATTGTCCACACTAAAGGGAATTATAAACGAGGAAGAGTTGTCCACACTAAATCGGTCTACTCTCCCAAGTATGAGACACCAATATTGAAATATCCCAAGGGTTCTAAGGCTTCTGGAGGACCGTCAGATAATCTGTCGAACTTGCTTGAAGATCATTTAAAGGTTTGTGCAGTTCATCAATCCTCATCACAAGTATTATGAAATCTGAATAATTCATATGTGAAATAACTTTTTTTTTTTTCAGAATGATGGGGAGGAAAGCGACTGACCTATGTAAGAAATAAAGATTTTAAATTTCAACTAGAGTTCTTGCATTTTTGCTGCCTGAAGTGAGATGTGTATTGAAAGCAGCAAAGGCTTCTGCCAACTCATGCAAACACTTGAATGGTATTGTATGGAAATTAGCTGTTTTTGATTTGTGCATGCAAGTGTCTTCAGTGTCTGGAGTCTTGATGCTCGCAACAGAAAATGTCTTAAACAAACCTATTTTCTTTTTCCTCTGGCAAATTTGGAGCCTTCAGGATAGAAAAATACAAGCCAAAATCTTATTGAGGGGAGCATCTTATTTGTATGTGAGAACTAAAAATGAATAACTTGGAGTGGATAAATTGTCTGCACTAAATGGTTAAATGCACTGACCAACAATCCCCCCCCCCCCCCCCTTCACTAAAGTATAAGCTTTGTGTTAAAGTAGGTCTTACAAACTAGAAACTCCTTAACCCTTAAATAACCCAGGTGTATTGTAGAAAGTTATAGTTTCTACATTCTTGTATTGCATATTTTTACAGACACCCTTCATAAATGGATCAAATGATAGAAGGTTTGTATCTGGCCTATTTTTTTTTTGTCTTTCCATGCTACACCCTGAGTAGGTAAGTAGAAAACAATTGCATTGGAGAATTTTACACGTTAGTTTGCCCCAGTTTTACCTCAATGTATCCATTACTAAATACATGTCGTCCAGGATGAGCAGTGGACTGGGGGAGTTGGATGAAACTCGGTGGAAAAAAATCAGATGTGATGTAAAATACTGAAGCGGGGGAAAAGATGACTTTTTTTTTCAGTCCAATTTCTCACACATTTTACACTCAACGCTGTAGTCTAGAAAATATTCCACACTTAATTCCGTACATTCCTACATATTTGAAGCCATGTCTGTGTATTGACACTTAATATTTTAAAGGGCTGTAGCTTGAAAAATCCACCTCAGCCATGACTTGGTGTCAAAAATATGTTAAGATACGAAAAGTGTAAATGTTCAAAAGTACAAAACACATTTTACGTGTAAAAAAAATGCTTATGGTGCTGATGTAGCAAGTGAATTTTCCACTGCAGGATTAATAAATTCGGATTGGAGATAAATGCATAAATGGCTTGCCCTACAAAGCTGGAGAGGAAGTGGGGAAGCTCTTCGCGGAAACGGATGTGACGTAGAGCGAAGACGCTAAAGTTTGAAGGATTTTGAGCGGCGAGATTCGTGCTCAGGATCTTCATTTCAGGTCTGAAGTTATATTTACACGTAAATACCTATTTTCAACACGCCATTAAACCCATTTTGAAAGTTGGGCAGAAAACGACTCATAAAACGCGAAAATTAGCTAGACTGACCTGGTTCAGCTCGGCTAACGGTAAGCTAGTCAGACAAATCTGGTCATTTCATCACGGTTAGGTTAATGCAAGGGGGTTGTCATGGCAACGCGGTGCATTCGCTGTCTCATAAACCCCGTTAAAAACGACCCAGAATAAAATCATTCCAGTGCTGGTTAGTTTAGAACATTTGCGTTCTAATTATCTCGTATTCTGGTGATATTCACCCTCAGGCCACCATGAAGAAACAAGAAGGCTCATGGGAGAGACTTGATACTGAATTTGACCATCTGCTCCTGGATATGAAACCCTATATGCTTAAACATCCAAATAAAACAGGTGAGACTTCGTTACAGCGTTACAGATCCTAACAGCAGTAGGAATGTTTGGTTCCCAGTGTCATTTAATGGGATAGAGATATTATGGAAGGGATGCACTTATTAGCAGTGATAAAAGTGTGAAGGACAGAGGTCTACACTACTAGAGAACAGTTCTGCTTGTTGTCTGAGAAGCTGCAACAATCTGTCACCATCATGTCAGAACGCCAGCATTGCGCCGTATGGATAAAGAAGCTGTGCGACCCAGCTGCATGTGGTTCAGATCGAAAGAATCGCAACATGTACGCTCGTGTGCTCCTCCACATGCTCAAGAGAGGCGTTCTGGAGGGTCCTTTCACCAGCAAACCAGAGCACGGGGGCCTCAAGACACTCCCTGCTTATATGGTGAGACTCACAATAAATCATGTACATTTGTGAAATTGTTTTTCTGTTAGTTGAAGTTGGTGCAAATATGAATGGAATTCAATGCAGTTTTCTGACCAAATCTCATGTTTTCCAACTGCCTCTAGTCCATCTACTTTGAGGAGCCACTGAGTGGTCTATGTGGTGAGCAGAGCAACAGAGGTGTACCCGACTGGGTGAGAGGAGATCTGAGTGGCTGCACTGATGACAGCTTGGCTGCAGATCTACTGAAAAAAAGACCCAGTTCAACACCTGTTAGAGCTCTTCACAGGTGTGTTACAACTGTCGTTTATTATTGCAACCCTTCTGTCAGAACAAAATGGTTTTAGAACAAGCAGTTTGGCGGCTGTGATCAGAGGAGTTGTGGAAGTTTACAGCTACATCCAAAGACATTAAGATGAAAAAGTTCTATATTTGTTGTCACCCATTCCAGAAAGTGGAAAAATTCAAGCACTTCTCTTTTGCCATTCTAATCATTACAGGTTACAGAAAATGAAACTTATAATGTTGTGTCTCAGACAATAACCTGTGTGTAGGACTGTTGATGCTCTGACTCCAGCATCAGTCCTCTCCTGGTGAAGCTCCCCAGATTCAAATCAAATCAAAGCTTTATTTATAAATCTATTCAAATTCCTGAATAGATTTAATTGGACAATCCCCTCAAGGCTCCCGGTTGCTAGAGCACTCAATGTTTTTAATTGTAATTGTTTTACAAAAACATATATTTAAAAAAAGTTTATTCTGCTTGTGAAGTGCTTTGTGATTTATATCTTGAAAGGCGCTTCTTCTGAAATTAGTGGCACCAAATCTTGAACTTTTTCATGAGATTCTAATGTATTAACTTGTACTGAATGTGTGTTTCTGTATGCTTATCATTTAAAGCTGAGGAATAACTTTAAGAACTGAGAACAGTTAAATAGTTCAACCTATAGAAAGGGAATGATTAGGCTAAAATTAATGAATGAAAGATTTGAAAGGATGGACGCAAAGTAACAAGACCTACAAATAAAACCAAAACATGTTTTTCTTCATTAAAAATTCAAGTACACCTTGAATGTAGCTTTTATGAATTCCCTCTTTATTGACGTTCATTATCAACTTAAAATAGTATTATTGTTTATCTCTGAATGTTCACATTTCAGGCAGTTTTGCTACATTTGCCCTCAGTGCAGAAATCTAGAATCTTTTATCCAACATCTCCATCTAGAGGCCGAACGTTGCATTGCACCTTAATATGATTTCATCACTTCTGTGATTAAAGCTGAAATGAACGCCCCTCCTTGGTGAACATGCACCTCTAGCTAAAACACATTGTTTTATAATTATTACTCTCATGTTGTGCTGTTAATACGTGTGCGGCGTGCACACACACACACACACACATAAATATATAATTCTGCACAGGATCGTACGATCTGACAATATAAGGTCGTTGAGGATTATAAAGTGATGACAATCTACCAAAGCACCGAGATCGTAGAACCATCTATTTGTATTTTATCACCTGTACCATTATTTCTGGGCGCGTCAATGTGCACGCATTTTTCTCGGCTGAATCATGGTACGACAGACACACCGATGAAGCAATCAGAGCAAGTTTTAGGCAGCGTGTTGGTTTGTTTAGCTGGGGTGTTTGGTGGAGCTGAGGAAATAATTTAATAATCGATGCACTAAGATGCAGCCATAAACGTTTTTTGGAGAAGCACACCATACTCAATTACAGAGGCTCATTGCTAGTGTTAGCCACTAGCTTACTCCATCTCTAAGTGGTCCTTATGTGTATCCTCACCCATCTGCTTGATCAGGGAACATCTGGGTCAGCTCTAAACATTGCGTTTGGCTTTGTGGCTTTTATAATTTGTGGACGTTTGGTGTGTTTTAGCGAACCTTTTCACTGTGGCTGCCGACTGGAGCTTTGTTCATGCCCTCCCCCTCCCCCGCGTAGTCGGAAAACGGCTACGGAGAACAGTGAGGCACAAATAAAGTGTAATCGGAGGATCTTTTGTGACGTCGGTGTATGTTTCTCGCAGTGCATTACAGTAGTGTGTGGCAAGAATCAGCGTATTTTGCCTATAATTCTGTTGTTTTTCACGTTTGGAGGAGGATTTAACGAAGCAGATGGATCCTTCTTGCTGTGTGGTTGTTACATCGTGCACCTTTAAATGTAAATACACAGTCCCACAGGTTTACAGAGCATTGGGTGTAGATTGGTGTAATATGAAGTAACCGCGCTGACGGTTGCTTTTGTGTCTGTTGTCTGTGGAAAAGGCAAACATAGAAGATTTGTACTCCGATAGATGAGTTACCTGTCAGAGCTTTCCACCTAGAAGTTCTTCTACCAGAGTGAAGACCCAGAACTATGCTGTGAAGTGTGTGATAAACACAGCTTCTCTGACTGATTGCCTATCATATTTACTCAGGAGTGCTACTAAAACAGCCAAAGGCGTTGCCAAGTTGTTGCATCAGGCTGCTTGAGATGTCCATTCTGACTTTTCAAAGAGAAATCCTTCAAAACAACCTGAGAGAATAAAGAACCTTTCATACACACTCCAGCTCGCATTTCCTTTCCTCTTCACATTTCACACTTGTTGAACCTGAGTTGTAATCCTCACAATACCAAGAAAGCAGAGAACAAAGCTCATTAGTAAAAATTCTTCAACATTTGGTTTCTGTTGCTTGTTGACCATGAGTCAAAAGCTCCAAACGTGTCAAAAAAAAAAAATCCAGAGACATACTGCTAACTGTGTAGCATGTAAAGCTAACACCCTTTACTAAATCATCAGTCACCCTAACTTGCTCAGGGATATTTCCTCTGTCTGCAGGCGGTTCAGATGCACGACAAAGTGATGTTAGTAGGGCTCATGGTTTTTTATTCCAATTAAGAAGACAAGGCAATCCAGAGCCCAGTGGCTTCATTTACTCATTAGCATAATAAAAAAAACACTGTAGGGGGGGGGGGGGGGGGCTTAATATACACCAGGGCGCTGCATGCGAGAGAGTACAAGCCCACTGCTGCCATATTAAATCCAAAGTCTTCTGTCGGCGGTGGAATTATGTCATTACAATTAGGCGCAGCGGTGCTTAGAGCTGTCACCTCACAGACAGATGGTTGGAGGCTATAAATAGGCCGTAGCGGTTTAGCCCACTGTCTGAAAAACAAGTCAGGTGAACGGACACACGTCTGCTAAACTTTCTCCTTCTAATCAGGAAGTTGGTTCCTCTTCAGCCTCCAGCAGGCCACTAAAAACGTACTTTAAAATACTTTGTGGACAAAGGCTATTTTTAGCTCATTCAGTCATTTGTTCTCGTTTACATTGCTTCTTTGCAGAGATTTCTTCATTGGGCTTCATTGCAAAGAAATGTCTGATCAAATTCAAAATAGTATTTAGTCATATTTTTATTCTTAATCCAGCCACTAGATGGGGCTGCTGCTCTGACTCACAGCAGATTATGCAGAGGAATGCTGGTTTGTTTATGACCATCTTCTCCAGTTAACCTCGTGTTCAGATGGATAACAACGAAGACCTGGCAGAGTGTGTGGGTGGTTCATCGCATCATGTAACCTGGGTTTTATTTCTTAGAAAGACATTTTCATTTCCATGTACTGCAGACTTTGTTTTCCTCCTGTCTCTCTGGCGTCTGCCCCCCATCTGTGTGCTTTCGATCCACATGTGAAAACTCTTACCTCCCCATCCCCCTTCTCTGGGGAAGTGTGACAAACAGTGTTTGCAGTTGTGTGAGTTAGTTGTTGATGTTGATAGAAATGCCTTGCTCAAAGGCTATTCTCTTTCCTCTCATCTTCTCTTCTAGGTGTCTTGGCTAACAGTCAGAGGGTGCACAAGGACATTAGGGTGATTGTTTCCCAAGGTCAGTCTGTTTTTCTAGGGGTGCTCAAGGCTGAGACCTGGGCCAGCTGGCTCTGCACCTGGAGGTCAGGCTGGGGTTTGGATGTCAGGGCGCTTTAATCAGCCAGGCTGCAGCTTCTGAGCTTTTACTTAGTGGAGCTCTACTTTGTGTGTGTGTGTGTGTGTGTGTGGGTGTGTGTGTTGCTCTGGCCTGACTTGCCACCGCTTTGATCTGTAGGCCTCAGACTCCAGACACATCTGATTCAATTATCCTCATCCACCTGTTGACTTAGAGGCCCAGAATTGTGAAACTTGCTCGCCATCCAAGTTTCATAGCTGTGTGCATGTGTGTGTGTGTGTGTGTGTGTGCACATTCGGAGAAAAAATTAAGACCATAGGCACACGAAGTTTGTTAAATGCTTTTCAAATTAAATAACTGCAAAAATGGTATTTTAACAAACTGTAAATGATGTTAGAAGATGTTTATTCTGATCTTTATTGGTTCTTGTTCCATATTTGAAGTGGAACTCAAACACATAATTTGGTAATCTCATTTTATGATATTGATTCAACTTCAAAAACATTTTTTAAACTGATAGATCACAGAAGAGTGAGCTCTATCTTTTTTTTTTTTACAAACACTCACACACACACACACCCTTGGACCTTTAGGGCTATGTTTTCACTTGTATTTCCCACCCATCACACCACACTCGCTTGTACCCGCTTGTATCTCATTCTTTTGGTCACTACCCAAAGCTCGTGACTGTAGGTGAGGGTAGGAATGTAGATTGACCAGTAAATTGAGAGCTTTGTCTTCTTGCTCAGCTCTCTCTTCACCACGACAGATCGGTACAACGTCCGTGTTCTCGGATTTAGAGGAGCTGATTCTCATCCCAGCCGCTTCACACTCGGCTGCAAACCGCTCCAGTGAAAGCTGGGGATCAGGCTCTGATGAAACCAAAAGGACCACATCATCTGCAAAGTGCAGAGACTCAATCCTTAGGCCACGAAAACAGATCCTTTCAGCACCTTGGCTGTGCCTAGAAATTCTGTCCATAAAAGTTATGAACAGAATCGGTGATAAAGTGCAGCCTTGGGGGAGTCCAACTCTCACTGGGAACAAGCCCTACTTGCTGCCTGCAATGCAGACCATGCTCTAACACCGGTCATACGGGGTGTATCAAAGGTACCCCATACTCCCGAGTACACAAGGCTCCCCGGGGGACTCAGTCAAACGTCTTCTCCAAATCCACAAACACATGTAGATTGGTTGAGCGAACTCCCACGCACCCTCCAGGACCCCCCTAAGGGTATAGAGCGGGTCCAGTGTTCCAGTCTCCTTTATTTCTATGTTATGCATCTTTGATTTAAATGTTGTTTATATAATATTTAATGTCTTTATTATTGTGCAGCGCCTACACCTTTACTTGCGTTTAAAACATTCTTTTCAGAATAAATGAATTGGGACTCAGTTCACAGATTGTCTCCGTATTAATCAGAATCATTTGCAAGAGTGATATTGCAGTATTAATAGATATTACATTACATTTTGCTGCCCTACTTAAAACAATCCAGTAACTAAAGGATTCAGTTTCAAGTATATTTGAACACAAGTTCAAACACTGGTTATATTTACCTTGCACCGCTACAGAATTTCAGCTGTAAGCTGCAGTTAAATCACTAAAATGATATGTAGAAGAAATGCATCCAAACCTCACAACTAATTGTAAATGTGGACATTTTTGTTTGTGCTAAACACACATTTCCAGGAAGTTTTCAACCACTTTGTGAAAAAGTCTGAAAGGGAAAAGGTTTAATGTTCTGAGCTAAAAGATAATGAGATGTTAGAGATGCACCTTCTAAATATAGATAGCTCAGGAGGTAGTGCGGGCTGCAGGTTCGATCTCGGCTCCGACCAGAGAATTCTGCTGTTGTGTCCTCGGGCAAGACGCCTAACCCGCCTTGCCTGCTTGTGGTCGGATGGACCGGTGGCGCCAGTGCTAGGCAGCCTCGCTTCTGTCAGTGCACCCCAGGGCAGCTGTAGCTACATCGTAGCTCATCCCCACCAGTGTGTGAATGGGTGAATGACTGACTGTGTTGTGAAGTGCCTTGGGGGGTCGTAGAACCCTAAGAAGGCGCTTTACAAATACAGGCCATATACCATTTACCTCATCTAGTGAGCTGCTTTGACACGATGGCTTAACTAGATAATTAGGTCAAACCGTGATAGAAGTCCTTCATCTAAACATTCTGCTAAGATATTCACATCACTGTCCTCACAGCGAAGTGTGACCAGTTTAATGTTGCACAGAAAACACAATTCATCACAAACATCAGACATCGTTTTAATAGAGAAGCCCTGCCCAAGTCACTTACACAGAGGAGTATTCATCTAGTGTCTTAAGGGTGAGTTTAAGTTAATGAAAATATTTAAATGGTTTTTATTAGTAGACAGAATAACATTAATGTTCTGTTCTGTTCCCAGAAGACGCCTTAGGCAAAAGAGGTTCAACTGTCTCAGTAACTGTGATGCTTTAAAAAACACAGCACAGGAGGAAGAAATGCCCATGGGCTCTGTGTAATAGTGTGAAACAGTGCCCTCTAGATTTCAACGTGATGTCTTTGTATGATGACAGCCGCTTTCTTTCGCTGTGGTCCCACGTCTCCTCTGCTTTTGCTAACAGTCATGCTTTTAAATAGCAGGAGCGAGCTAATAAAGTCTCATGTGCCTGCCCTTAATGAGACTGTTAGTTCAGTTATGCTCTTGTGTGTGTGTGTGTGTGTGTGTGTGTGTGTGTGTGTGTGTGTGTGTTTGAATATCGGCAGTTTTCCTGCAAAGCGCCTGTGTTTTTATTTAAATACCGTGACAGACATGATGAGAAGCAGTCATGAACGCGTGTGATTACAGGAGGAAGGTTCAAGTCACAGACGGGTTCTCCATGTGTCGTGCACGGAAACAGAGGGAAGTATGGCAGGGACGTTTATTGTTCAGATGGGATGAATTGCAGACCTCAAACCGTGCAACTGTTGCCAGATGTTGATCTGTGCAAATGTCAAGGCGAGCTGCAGATGCATGCATGATGCAAAGAGGGAGAGCACAGGCAAATGCACTCGTGTGTGTGTATATATATATATATATATATATATGTATATATAGTGTTGATTAAATTCTTTCACTTTTGTTTATGTAATTTATATTTTTCAGGAGAAGGCTGAATGAAGAGGAGAACTCTTCCCTGCCCATGTCCTCCAGTCCTCTCAAACAAGCACCCAGAAAAGATGCCAGGCAGGTTAGTTTATCAGCACACAGTCCTACCCACCTCTGGGGTTCAAGATCCATCAGAGTTGATACATTTATCTGAGGTTGAAGTGTTCCACAACAAACATGGTTTCAGTTTACAGATAACGCTTAAGGGAAATTTCATACACTGAAAACGTGCAGGTTAAAAAATAGAGCTATCGGTTTTTAACATTCAGAAATTCACAGCTTCATAATCCATTAACTAACTTGGACAGTTCTGGTTAAAAAAATAATACAGGTTAAGCACTGTTTTGAGACTCTTTGAAGAAGCCCAGGTGGATCTGGTCATTTATGAGGGTGTAGTTTAGCTGGGCTGTCCATCCTGTATACGTGAATTTATAGTCTGGCCATGGCCCAGAGGGAGAGCTCAGTCATGAGGCGAGATCTATGGATGTCTTTCAAATCGTCTCCACATGCTATTGGTCAACAAACAACGTGACATACTCACCAATACAGGTGTCAGTGAACGGGAGCAGTCTGCCATACACTGTTTAAGGGCTTAAATTTCTCTATCTGCTCTTGACTCAAAGAAAAGCCCAAGTCTGCAAGGTCCAAAGTTTATGCCAACGTCATTTCTAACAAGCTGTCACCATCTTGTTCCACTCCATCGCATTATCATGCCCACCGAACCAGTAGAGCGCTGTGATTGACCCACCAAACAGAAAAAATGCAGTGATTGGCCCACCATCAGAGAGAGTGCTTTGATTGGCCCACCAAACAGAAAGAGCGCTATGATTGGCCAACCAAACAGAGAGAGGGCCGTGATTGGCCCACCAAACCAATAGAGTTCTGTGATTGGCCCACCAAACCAATAGAGAGCTGTGATTAGCCATGTTCGAGATAAGTCAGTTCTGTGCAGATTAGATCAGCTGTGATCGGCGAGAAGTGCGTGCCGGTTAGATTTGTGTCCAACTTGATGCCGACTTGCTCTGACGTCATGCATACGTAGGCAACGATAAACTCGTGAGATCAAGGTGGCCGCAGATTTTGGAGCAAGGCGCTGCAGTTGCTCTCCCTCAGCTGCAAAACCTAGGGGATGACGGGAAACGCCTGGCTCTCACCTGTTCTAAGATCTGATTGGTTCATATTTTGATCTGAACATCCGGTGGTAGAACATGAAACGCTAGTTGTTCACATGTATTCTGTAAATCACGTTATGTTGATGATGACAACTATATAGGCCATAAAGAGAAATGTGTTTTGTGTTATTTTGTCACGTTTCCTATGAGCACACTGAAGCTACAGCTGATAACCTTTACTTATTATTACAGTCATGTCTTCAAATAGAATATTTGATATCCACAAGTACGTGAGGATGTGTTTCAGCTGCTAACAGGCACCAGAATTAAAATTGAAAATGAAACAAGTGTGAATGCTAATGCGATGTGTTCATCCGTCGTCACCTGTGAGCTACACATGTAGGGAAATCCGTCCGACTTAAACGCCGGCTTTCAGCCACTCCCCCTGCTGCTTCCGTCTGCTCTCGTCTGGTTTCCAGGCGAGGCGCAGCTCAACTCGAACACGGCCATTGACCCACCAAACAGAAAGAGCGCTGTGATTGGCCCACCAAACAGAGAGAGGGTAGTGATTGGCCCACCAAACCAATAGAGAGCTGCGATTGGCCTACCAAACCAATAGAGAGGTGTGATTGACCCACCAAACAGATCGAGCGCTGTCATTGGTCCATCAAACCAATAGAGAGTTGTGATTGGCCCACCAAACAGATCGAGCGCTGTCATTGGTCCACCAAAGCGAAAGAATGCTGTGATTCATCCAATGGCCCATGTGGTATTTTGATAACCAGTCCACACACAGCCACAACCTGCTTTTTGGTGCCAGACAAGAATAAAATATTTCAGAAAAGCTTAACATCCTGAGTTTAAAGTTGCAGCAGAGCTGTGTTGTCACGCTGTACTGGAAGAAGTGTAATTCTTCAGCCAATAAGCAAGTCATCATCTGTAGATACTACTTTGATTAATACCACATGGTGCTTACGTTCCTGATACAATACAGAGACTGTGAAATGCTGGTTTGAACAGCATGTCCAGCAACCTGAAAGGAAAGATTTACTCTGAGGGTGAGGCCTTCATACCAAATTTTAACCAGAGGGGACATTTAATCCTCAGATTTTCCGTTCAGCTTTTTCTCTGTTGGTGCTTTTAAGCAAACGCTCCATCTGATCCTAATCATATCCAATATCTGCCTCTTTCCTATTGGTCACAATTCTATTAGATAGTTCCTCTATTTTAGACTTTAAACTGACCTTGAGAAAAGGGTCAGAGACACAGATATAACGTGGGAGTAGAGTACTGTTGGTTTGGGAGGAAAGCACATAAGGGCGTATCTTCTGCCTGTAAGCTTGAAGAAACCTCTTGTTGCCAAGAGAGGAATTATAACATATCAGCAGGCAGAGATAACCTCCGCCAGTTCCTGTTGTTTGCTTCTTTGAGCCAAACTGCCAATCAAAGTGCTGGCAAGAGTAATTTAAATCCCATCCTCTAGTTTGAATCACCCTGCTGTTGACGCTACCCATCTTTTTCCCTTCTCAGGTGGACGGGGTGTTAAAAGCTAACCCGTATTCTGATGACAGTGACCTGGAGGCTTGTCTCAACAGCTGGAGCCTGGGGGTGAGTCCAGGGGTTACAAGCAGCTGTCAGCGTGCTGCAGCTCTCTGCAGGGACTGTGATTCTGAACAGCTTGCAAATAAATCCACACAAGTAAAAGGGCACCCCAACTCATGATTTAGTTTTATTGCAGCAAGCGTAACGAACATCTGAAAGTCAGGCACACATTTGTTTTCTTACTAACACATGTATTTATAAATAAATAATTACTTTCTGCTTTAAATTAGCACATTTAATACCTTTTCTAAAATTATTAATACTCCCTGCACAATAAATTTATTTGTTGGGCTGCTCGATTATGGAAAACATCAAAATTACAGTTTTGAAAATTTAAAGCTGTTATAGCCAATCTGCAAAGAAGCTAGGTTTTGAAGGCAAACATGGTCAGGGAACACTCACCCCTCCTCTTTGGTAGCCTTCCTGGATCTGCATCCACCGGAGCCAGACATTGTCAGAGAAAACAAGATCATGCTAAACACCAGTCGCAGTTTTGTGGTCCAAACGTCTTTTGTTGTCCATGACTTCAAATGTTGTTTTTCTTTTTGGGATTCTGGTAGTTTGGCTTAAGGTTGACATGGTATCAGACGGCTATTTCTTCTTCTCTGATATTATTGACTAGAGAACCTCTCACGCCAGTGGTGTTCTGTTGGAAAATACATAAATGTGTAAAGAATAGAGGACCTTGGAAAGTGCGGCGGGTCAGCAAGACCGACAAATGGATGGTCCAATAGTTGCTTTTGTGTTATTGGCAGAGGTTTTTAAACAAATGTGAAAGAACCCCTTTATTCATTGTTTTCTTTTTTTTATCTCCACCACATACAGTGCTCAGCATAAATGAGCACACCCCTTTTAAAAGGTACGAATTTCATCGGTAGCACAATGAACAAAAGAACAATTTCCATCTTGTCATGCATGTCGTGGGTCTGAGTTGTGAAAGTGGCTCTCAATCCTGCTACTGTCAGCCACCTTGGCCTCTCTGATGCCGCTCTTCAGCTCTGACCTGACAGTGCTGTATTGTTGAGCATCGCCAGACCTGAAAGCTTTGTCACGGCCCTTAAGCAGAAACCCGACATCTTTGGTCATCCGTGGCTTGCTGTTGGGGAAGGTGTGGATTTTCTTTGCTGTTCTAACAGTATCTGTGCAATGTTTTATGTAAGAGAGAACCATAGAAGTGTAGGCCTCATTGTTTTTATCTTTGGAAATGGACCAGTTGGTACTATCAAAGCAGTCCTGCAACAGTTCTGATGCTCCTTCCAGCCACCACTGAATCCCTCTGGTCTCTGGTTTCAGTTTTCTGATGAGTGGTCTGTATGCTGGAGTTAAAAACAGGGAGATGTGGTCGGACTGGCCTAGGTGAGCGAGGCCCTTCTGCTTTAAAACCTTGCGTAAATTTGCTGTAAACATGATCAAGTCCATTTTCACCTCTCGTGGGGAGCTGGCAGAAAATCACCAGCAACTACAAACACTCCATCTGTATGGGCACTCTGCTGGTTGTTGATAGCGGTTAGCAAGTAGCTCAGGGCTGTAGCTGCGTTAGCTTGGGGGGAATGTAAACAGCAGTGATTATGATGGTGGAGTGCTCCCTATGGGCCGACAATTTACAGACAGATATTCAAGGTCAGGGGATCAACGAGTCTCGGTAATCTTAGCATCACTGCAACAGCTGTTATTTGTGTACACACAGCCCGCCTCCTCTGCTCTTCCCGGAATTGTTCATCCTGTGCGTAGTGTGGCCTGCTAGCTGGATAGCCTCCTCTGGGATAGTTGGATTAAGCCACGTTTCTGAAAACACCACGACACAGCAGTCCTGTATTAGCCTGGCCTGCCAGACTCGTCCTCTGTTTAATTCTGCACAGAGAAAGAGTCTGGTAACTCACAGGCAGAGAGGCACATGAGGGGCGGGACTAGCCAGCTCTGAAATAACCATCACAAAAAAGGATGGAAATGCTGACTGTACCGCGCAGCGCTGTAGTTTTTTTTTTTGCTGTAGTCAAAAATGGCGTCTGGCGACGGCACAAACATCTTTTATTACAGGAAAGGCTTTTAGCGCTTCTACTTGTTGTGGTTTTAAAGATATTCAAGTCATTGAGAGCAGAGGAAAGAGCCGCAGCAAGCTCCTCTTCAGTCGCCATGTTTATGACAAACTCAGCGTTGTGGTGTGTCGTACGCTACTCAGTGCTGATTGGCTTGGTTAGATTTCTCAGGGGGTGGGGTTATTTGAACAGGAGAGTTCCCAGATCCTTTCTCTGTGCAGAATTAAACAGAGGAGGAGTCTGGCAGACCAGGCTAGCCCTGTACGTTCTTCTGCGCAGATATGATAAGAATTAATTCCTCCATTTTGTTTGGTAGCAGTCGTATGTTTGCTAAGAAGAGACTAGGCAGTAGTGCTAGCCTAGCACGTATGCCAGCTCGGCTGTATTCAATAAAATGTATTATTCCATAAAATTATGTATTATCAATATTACTGAACCTTTAATAATTGATGGATGTTATAAATAGTAGGGATGCGTTTTGGTGAAATTCTGGCGAGACGATACATATCACGATACAGGGGAGACGATACGATATACTGCGATACATTCAGCCAGACATTAATAGCGATTTTCTTTAGACTGAATTTACTGTAGGAAAATTCAATAAACAGTCCAAACTGATACATAACATGTTTAACATGAGGAATCTGGATCATAATAAAGAGATTTACATGTCCATGGTGCAGGCTGCGCAGTGGAGCAGTGGTTAGAACTGTTGCCTTGCAGCAAGATGGTCCTGGGTTCACTTCCCGGCCTGGGATCTTTCTGCATGGAGTTTGCATGTTCTCCCTGTGCATGCGTGGGATCTCTCTGGTTACTCTGGCTTCCTCCCGCAGTCCAAAAACATGACTGTTAGGTTGATTGGTCTATCCAAATTGTCCTTAGGTGTAAGTGTGTGTGTGCATGATTGTTTGTCCTGTGTGTCTCTGTGTTGCCCTGCGATGGATTGGTACTGTGTCCAGCGTGTACCCCACCTGATTGCCCATTGACCGCTGGAGATAGGCACCAGTCCCCCCACGACCCTACATGGACAAGCGGGTTCAGATAATGGATGGATGGACATTTCCATGGTAAAAACAAAACCCATTGCACAATGCTGCCAACTAGCGGTCGGCGTTTGAGTTTCACCAAAGAAAAAATATATACACAAATGTTTGCATGTAAACTCTTCCAAAAATTCGATACACAGCTTTTGAATATCAAAATAATATCACAGGGCAAAAACCCACAATATATTGCCATATCGATATTTTCTTTGATCCCTAATAAATGGGTTCTTTGGGTATGCCAGGAAACTAACACTTAAATTAATTTGACAAAGAAGCAAAAATATAGTTTATGAAAATCAATTTATTACTATATTTCTACAACTAATGATCATACAGAATAACTGTAGATAAATTACAATTTAAGATAATATAACTAAGTCAATGAGTAAACTGATGAAATATGATCTAAAATGTTATTAAGAGTCTAAGTGTCTTAGAAAGGATGTGATGTCTGGGTTTATAAAAATAATCTGGTTGAATGTTTAATTAGTTATCAACCAACCAGAACCAACTAATTCATCTACTGCTTAATGAATCAATACAGTGCTGTTACAGAAGTAGAGAAGAGCTGCTGCTGATGTCCAGTCAGTCTGACATCAGGATGTGTCCTTCTGGAAGAGTTGAGACGGGGAAACAGAATCATATGGAAAACATTTCTGGACGACACACTGCAGAGTGTGTATGTTTCAGTACAGAAAATCATGGAGGCATATTTTTAATCAACACAATTTTCCGCTGGTGTGCTTTGCCTCTGTTGTCTTCTCGCCACTACGAGTCACACGTGAAGTTAGCCTTCAGAAAGGGAGGAAGTGTGCATCAGTTTAGGTTGCAATGATCAGAAATTTTGGTGGCATAGTCTGAGAAATAATCACTGTTAAATGATTACCGCGCTGATTTAGCATGAATCAATTTCACATCTGTATCAACATGAATAAATGAACACATTCTGTAAAGGTTTTGAACTCCACAAGATATCTATATCTGCTTTTCAGAGCTTCTTTTTATAAAAAATTAGTAAAATCAAAGTTATCTATCATTTTGAAATTACAGTATAAATTTAAAATACCCTTAATCAGATTGGCCTAATAGCCTGCTTTGAGTTTCTGTAAAAAGACAAAAAAAGTTTAACTGTTGACAACTGGCCAGGGTTAGGGTTAACTCACGTGGCTTAGACCATCAAAGCCGTGGACATGACATTAATTCAACAGTGAAAGATAAAGGCACCTTCATAAAATGAGATGCTAAATTCTTACTAGTCCGATTGTTATTATGAATATCCTTAATATAATTTCTACTTGCTCACATCTTTATTTTCAATATTGAGTAGTAAAAATACTATTTGGAAAAGGATAAATTGGAAAATAGGAATTACAAAAAGGTGCTGTTGATTAAATTTGAAAATGGCTTGCCGTACTGGCTTGTTATAGACAAATACAGGGGAAACGTAGTACAACACTACTGAATAAACTCATTTTTTACTGGATCATTCTAATATTTCTGTTAAATCACTTCAGTTGTAGCTTTTTTTTGTCCGCACTTCAGAGGACATGAAACAGGTTGGGGGTAGGGCTGGGTGATATGGCCTAAAATCAATATCACGATATATTGAGGATTTCACCTCGATAACGATAAATGAATGATAACCACAGGTGTGCGCAGAAACAAAAGTTGTCCACTAGATGGGGCTGTCACATGATTTACGTTGAGTCACATTTTTACGTGACTCAAGGTGGTACAGCTTCTTAAAGGGACACGAACATTGCCAACCTACACACATCTTTCATTTTTTTAAATGATCAAATTTATTGACATGAGAAAATGTTTCTCGATAACAGTCAGAAATTTCATTACGATAATTTTTCGATACATGCCCAGCCCTAATTGGGGGTCTCGCAACTTTCTTTCTCCCAGCTCTCCAGAT